AATAATAATAAAGCTGTTGGGAACCTCATTCAATCACATTCATTGACCCTAGTTTCTCGGGGGGAAAATCTAGCAGACGTACTGTTTTCCTTCCTAAGACTTCTATTGGTCCTGAGCATGTATCCGGTTTATCCAATTAGCTACAGCAGCAGTTAAATGCACCTTCCCATTGGACAGGGCGTTTGCCAGTTACGATAAGCTTTCAAACACGATTGGTTACAGCTGAAAGTGGGAGTCGGTCAATGTTGAATTGTGCGGGAGAAGGGGGTGGACACTTGAAGTGAGGTGGAGGTAGGAACTGGAAATGTTGTTTTTTTAGCATCTGATATTTAGTTTGGCTTTCCCTTTTCAATTATGTGATTTTATATCACGTAAACGTTTTTCTTAGAGATTGCATAGTGGTCAAAAGTGCTTTCCGTTGTACCTAAATGCCCTCACGATAATATTGAGTTACTTATAACTCTGGCGAGGGTCTGACACGATTTAAAAGTTAAACTTCCTTCTGTTGTATAAAATAATGTTTATTAGCATTAAGAGAGGGGTTTCTCGATTGTTGAATGCAAACGTGCATATCGCCGTGTTGAAATGAGTCATTCATGCCGTAAGGAAAGAACCGGTTTTTCAAATCAGGTTTTCTGCAGCTAACAATATTTGATAAATCTGCCCATAATGCGATGTTGTACAGTAGTTTAGAATCGCGTATATCAGGGTTTGGATGCATTTGCATTAAGCATCGAAATTTTAGGAAAGCATGCCTAAAATAGTATGTCGAATGTAGAAATATTATTGTTTATTTTTCCGTAAAACATCAATACAGTACGGCTCGTCACTTCCTTATTAAGAAATCGTGCTGCATTTGACAAAATCAGGCGGTCTCTGGTGTGGAACCAACCGTGTAATGTGGGATTTTAATCATTTTCACCCCTAATCCCAAAAACTCGTGAATTGTGTGACTTTCCAATACAAATGAATACAGCAGGGAAATATACTTTCCCGTCGATATCTATTTTAAGTGAGGGTTTGTTGGAAGTTATTAAAAGACTTGTTCTTTTCGTCTATTGGAAAAGAAATACTGTATATATATATATTTTAAAAAATATATGCGCTTAATCCGGACGACTAATGTTTAAAGTGCTGAAGTATAGCATATAAACAACTTAAAACTGCAAAGTAATGTGCAATTAACTTAATCTGACATCGTCGTGGAAAGTTTCTAATGTTTTAGTGAACGTATATGGGCACCACGATTAAGAGCTGCGTGCGACCCTCTGCCGGCAGAGCTCGGTTCTGATGGGCTGGTGGTTCTGCTCTTCCCAGGGCCCAGATGTGATGGCTCCTGGAAAGCGTGCGAGGAGGGAAGAGGTGCAGTTGGGCTGTGAGTGGGGACCGTGCCAGGCCACTTTCACCAGGATGGAGGAATTCTGTCAGCATGTGGGGGAACATCTGGAATCTCTGCAGCTGGAGGCCGAGGAGAGCGAGATGCTGGGTGAGATTTTGGGATTGGGAAGGGGGAGTGTCTCATACCAGGTGCTTCTTTTACTGGGTGATCTGTAAAGGCATTGTAATTCGGAGAGATGTGGGACAACTCTGCCATCAGTGGAGAAGATTGTAAATCTCACAGCAGCATCTAGATTTGAAGAAGATTTTTTACAGAAGCTTGTTGGTGCCACGGGGGGAAAAAATGCATTTAAATGAGATAACATTGCTTTAAAATGAGAAACAATTTTGCGTTTAAACTAGTATATTTTTCTCTTGTGGTGCTAAAAAGCTTCCATAGGTTTTAACATTTGCGTTTAACCGGTTAACTGTATTTTTACAGTTTTGTCTGTTGCGCACTTGATGTCTGAATAAAAGGCTTGTAATGCAGAGTTAAAATAGTGAATGTTTTATGAAATCTAAATTGATGAGAGCTGGATATAGAATTCACTAAAATAAGGCTGATCTCTCGCCGGAGTGTGCAGGTGAAAGGAAAACAGTTCCAGTGGAGCTGGGGTTTCAATGCTCGGTAGAGAGTTTCACAGTCCCACGCGGGGCGTGTTTGCTGGTGTTCCTGTTCCAGAGGAGCGCAGCTGTCTGTGGCGGGACTGTGGGTTCTGCTCGCTGGAAAACCCCACGGAGCTGGTGAGGCACATCTATTTCCACTGCTACCACACCAAGCTGAAGCAGTGGGGCCAGAGCATCCTGAAGAGCCAGCCCGACCTGGGCACTTGCACCCTGGACCTGCAGAACCGCAACATCGTCCCCGAGATCCTGGATAAATTCCTGTGCCAGTGGGAGCACTGTGAGGTGAGGAGGGGAGGTGGGATGTATCCCTCTGTCCCGAGGGATTGGGGGAGCAGGGACTAAGGGGCTGTGGGAGGGGGGAGGAGTACAGTGTGTGCAGCCTAGCAGATTGTGGGATGGTGGGACTTGGCCTGCAGCATGAGAGAAGAGGGATCGTATGGTAGGGTCTCGGCACCTGCAAATTTAACATTTGCAAATTCGCTAGCTCACGATTCGGTCTGGCCGACGAGGTCTTGTATGCAGCGCGGGGAATGACAGGCTGGAGATGACAAGCTCACTGATAGTTTTATTGCCCTTTTCTTGACACGGGCAGAGAGAGAAAGCGCAGGCATCCACTGAATGCAGAGGAGGGATTCATGTTGCTTATGTTAGTGGATTACTATAATTTTGTGATTACTGTTGTTTGCTTTAGTTCATCCGAGCTACTTTAACTTAAAGCCAGTACTGTATATGGAAGGGTACCTTATGTCTTTTAATCTTAAAAACTATATCTTGTAGTACATAATGTGGCAGTATAGGAGTGGACTTGGTAACTTTTATATGTGAACGTGGCTGTTAGCTAATGTTCTCTGCACTGAACCCTCGCAGATTTTGAGACCCTGCCGTACAGAGTTAAGTGAGGCTGCCCACAGCGTGAATCATACGAACTGTTTTTACTTTTCTCTAGCAGGCCTCCTTTGAGAACCCGGAATGGTTCTACCGCCATGTGGAAATGCACGGCCTGTGTATGGAGCTCAAGTCCACCAGCAAGGAGGAGCCTGTGCTGCGCTGTGGGTGGAAAGGTGAGGGTGAGATTCCCTGAGGCTTCCCTTTGCGTTCGCTGGCGCTCAGTCTCTCTGCTTTTCTCTCTTTGCTTGCGGAGGTGGGGGCGTCTCCACTGGGCCCCGGCCTGCGCGCCTGATGGTGGTCTGTCTGTCCTCCCAGAGTGCGAGGCGACCTTCAAGGGCCGGTTCAAACTGCGAGAGCATCTGCGCAGCCACACCCAGGAGAAGGTGGTGGCCTGCCCCACCTGCGGGGGCATGTTCGCCAACAACACCAAGTTCTTCGACCACATCCGCCGGCAGACCACCATCGAGGGTGAGCGAAGGGGAAGGGACCGCGGGGGGGAGATGGGGAGTGCTGAACAAGCAATGTGGAGGGGTGGGGTTGGCGGTTGTCTGATGTGGATTGTCTGAACCCAATTCAGTCGATCTTTCAGTAAATTGTAAAATAAAAGGTTAATACTGAGACACAGCTCATCTTGTTTTAAATGATCAAATTTGAACCTTATTCCTGATTATATTCAGTTGACTTGTTTCTTGTATCACGTATATAAATATTTGTTGCTTTTGGGCAATCGATGTCCGTATTCAGAGTTCTGTAGGAGAACTCTGGTGTTCTTTGTCTTGATTGCTGAAGATCCTTGCACTTTTTCTCACTGTTTATCCCCTTTTTTTCCTGTGTCTTTCTCCTTCCCCAATTCTCCATTCATCACCTTATTACGCTTCTTGCTTTCTCTGTGGTCTCCAGGCCAGCGGTTTCAGTGCTCTCACTGCTCCAAGCGCTTTGCCACAGAGAGGCTCCTTCGGGACCACATGAGGAACCACGGTGTGTATCTGTGTCGTATTTGCCAGCTTTTGTTTGTTTTCGGCCCCAGTCTTGTACCTGAACACGCTGTTCCATTCTCGCACAGAGCAACGCCACCCAGGATATTGGTCTGTTAGTCACTCAACAGTTGGGCTCTGTTTTCTCAGAATATGTTTTTTACCTTGGTGCAAGAGCCAAAAGATCCATATGGAATGGAAATGTCTGGTCCAGTTAAGCCTTAATTACACCAAGTTATCTCTTAAATTATTATCATGTTTGAAGTGGGAGAAAATCTGCTAGACCAGTGCATAATATCTCTGGTGTAAGAACACTTGTCTGCGCCTTTGTGGTCATTTAGGGTGTTCAATTAAGGGGACAGTGCACTTTCGTGCATTAAGCTTTGCCTTGTAAAAAAAACACGTTAAAAGAATTGTTAACGAAAATTGTTACCCTTCACGATTCCAACCCCTGGAATGAATTGGTCACAAAGAGACGCTCCACTAACTCGCCCCCAAGTGAAAAGTGAAAAGCTCCCTGATCAGTCGTGATCGCTGCTTATTCCTTGTTTTTACAGTTTTTGTTTTTCATGAGGGACGCAAACATGCCTGACACTACAGAATAATGGAACACCTGAAGAAGGCTCCACAGCTGAAACATTGTGATTCTTTTCTTTTCAGCCTGGAATAAACCTTTAGTTGTTCCTTTGCAGCCTACGCATGCTGACGCAGCCACTTACTTGAACTTCTGTTACAGCATAATGTCCATTGTCTGATTGTCCCTTCTCGTCCTGCCAGTGAACCATTACAAGTGTCCCTTGTGTGAGATGACCTGCCCGTCCCCCTCTTCCCTCAGAAACCACATCAAGTTCAGGCACAGCAACGAGAAGCCCTACAGCTGCGAGTACTGCGAGTACAGGTAGGGGGAGCTGTCCCCCTCTCTGGGCAACCCGGGGTGGACAATTCAGGCTTCGGTCAGTTAAAAGCATCTGTTTGGAGGAACTGAATTGTTGCTATCATTCTTAGAAAGAAGTCTTGAGACCATCTTGAGTTTTGAATGTAACAAATCTTTCTGTCAACATTACTTCACCATGGTGTTTCCTGGGTGCTCTGCAAATTGCTCTCCGTATACAAGTTTGCTGTCTTAACAGCACAGGGTGCGTGGGCTTATGTTTTGTGTTTGAGGTATATACATGTGGGTTTTTGTTTGTTTCCTGCAAGTGCTAGCCCTGGTAGTCTGTTAATAGCATTGCTGTGTGTTTCTGCAATATGTAGTATGTTGTATGTTGCGTGTGTTGCTTAAGGTAAATGTTACCTACAGTTTGTATATTGGTCAAGTTCCTGTGAAGACAGCCTCTCTTTGCAAAGCGGTTTCATCCGCTTCAGTTTTTCGCTGTCGGGCGTGACGGGAGATAAGCCAAACCATAACCTGAAATGGCTTCAGCTGCTCCGCAGCAGGGCAGTCTTACGCCAGGAACCCCATGCCCTGCGTTTGTGCCCTGCAGCTGTAAGAACCTGATCGACCTGCGGAGGCACCTGGACACCCACAGTAGCGATCCGGCCTACCGCTGCGAGTTTCTGGACTGCAGCTTCGCCACGCGCTCTCTGCACTCCATCAAGTCGCACTACCGGAGAGTGCATGAGGTGAGAACGAATGAGAACCCGAACCCGAACCCATCCTCTCCACCCGAACCCGTGACCCTGGACCGTTTCACTTTTAGTGGCTTCCTGCTCCTGTATCTTTCTTTACAGCACCTGCTAGAAAGTTGCAATCAAGTATTGGATTTACTGGTTGCTGCTGTTGGTCCTGGACGTGAATCTGTTCTGGGGGGGGGTGGGTTAGGGGATGAATGGGCAAGGCTCAGTCCTGTCATATTTCACAAACGGAAGCCCAGGCAGGTTTGCAGGCTGCGTCTGAACTCCTGTCCCCGCAGGGAGATCTGACGCCGCGGTACAAGTGCCACGTGTGTGAGAAGTGTTTCACCAGGGGGAACAACCTCACCTCCCACCTCCGGAAGAAACACCAGTTCAAATGGCCGTCGGGGCATCCCAGATTCAGGTACGGTCACAGCACACCGCCGAAATGCAAGAGACGCGCAAAGCAGACACGGGTATACGTGCAAGGGTGAGAGATGCCTCCGTTCAGCAAAAAGTAATAAAAAGGTGCAGTCCAGGATATTAGCTGCCTGTACTAAGACACGCAAATTTGAGTTCCATTTCCTCTGAGGGACTTGGGAAAAAGTCCTGGGTTCACAAGGTTGTGTGCACATTCTTGTGACAGACACAAACGTCAAGTGCATCAGGGCTCAAGCACCAGTGCAGGCATATACTGTAGATGGCAAAGCACCCGTACACTATCGTCCGTTCGAGCTGAAAGAAATAATTGTTCTTCCAGATTCTTTTGAGAGCAGCTCTGGAGGACGGTGAGCTCCTTGAATACGCAGCGGCAAAAAAATAACAAACAAGGAGGCGTTTTTCGAATCTAGGTGGGCCAGATCGTGAGATTTGAGTAAAAAAAAAACAACAAACGTTCAGGTTTAAGTGTTCCGCCCCTCCTCTTGTCTCAGGTACAAGGAGCACGAGGACGGCTTCATGCGCCTGCAGCTGATCCGCTACGAGAGCGTGGAGCTGACCGAGCAGCTGATGAAGGAGAGGCTGGCGGCGGGGGAGGGCGCGCGAGCGGACTGCCTGGAGCTGGGGCCGGAACCGGGGGATGCCGGCGCCCCGGATGGGTCCAACAAGGGATCTGAGGGCGGGGAAGCGCCGGGGGTGAAGGTGGCAGGTGCGAGAGGGATGGTGCTGGAGAACGGAGCAGGAGGAAGACCGGATGACGGAGGGGCACAGGGGGAGGCGTTGAGTACCGTCATCCGGGTGGAGAACAGGACCAACGAGATGGGCGAGAGTGAAACGGTCTATTACGTGCTGACCAGCAGCAGCAGCCCCTCGCAGGCCCCCGAGACGGAGGGGGCAGGGCGACGGGGCGAGGAGGACGGGGGCAGCGTCATGCTGCAGCTGCAGGACACGGCGCAGCATCTGGGCATGGAGGTGGTGTAGCGGGCCCGGGGGGGGGAACAGGCTTCGCGTCAAACCTCCGGCACGGAGAGGAGCCGTCACGCGCTGCGCCGTGGGCGCTCCCACCGGACTCGGACAAGACGGGGACGGGGGGGGAGAACAGGAGGCATCTCGCTTGTCCGCCATGATGCACAGGCCATGTCTCTGGCCGGTTTATTCGCTTTCGTTTGTGGGCTTTCCAGGAAGAGATTCGCCTTTCAGTGATGCTGGGGGCACATTTTCAGGCAAGGAATATACAGGACGATGCAGAAGTGCATTGTTTTAAAGTGAAGCTGCATGCTTGTTCTGGGTTTTCTTGTAAGTTGTATGAGTTATGAGCTTTTTATTTTATTTTTTTTACTTTTTACTTGGACTGGATGTTAATTTTGATTTTTTTTTTCAGTTATATAAAGCTGTTTTTTTTTTTTAAATTAAGGTCTTGAATGTGAACATCCTGACACACAAGGGTGAGTAGGATGTGTGTCCATATCGGTACCATATTGCTCGGGACCACTTGTTGGTACTCTGACAATCAGCCCCTGTGTTGGCTGGTAGAGTTAGTCTTGGTCTCCAGACAGTGTCACTGGGACCAAAGCAGCCCTGCTCATGTCTCACAGCTGAGGACCCTGTGACCGCACACAGGGGGGAAAGTGTAGGCAGACCCCTCCCAGCCTCATGCAAGTCACTTGTCTTAACACCTTGCAGGCTGCTCAGTACAGTCCCCTACTGGGGAATCATCACTTGACTGATGGCTCTGCATGCCTGCAAGCTCCCAGGTGGCCACAGGGGGCAGTGTCACCAAAAGCTGAGTAATCCCACCCATGGCTTTGACACTCGGCTGATCCCGGTAGGTACCACCTAGTGACACGTCCCAGGTCGTAACCCCGCGATCGTAGAGCCCAACCTGACCTGGGACCAGCCCCTCGGGAAGCCCCAAAGAACGTTTTTTGATAAAAGCGATTTGGAGTATTAAGCAACTATCCATTAAATCCATCCTTCTGAAAAATCCATTGAATGAGTTACTGTTAGTGGAAGTAGTTAGGGAAGTGGTGTTGCAGTGTTGAACAGTTAGGACTCAAGGTGGTGGGTTCAAATCCCAGGTGAGACACTGCTGTTGTATCCTTGAGCGAGATCCTTCACCCAGATTGCTCCAGGAACATACCCAGCTGTATAAATGATGACAAATGTAAGTTGGCATCAGCCCAGTAAATATAGAACAATGACAACTGCCATTATACCACTGGCCATACACTGGTGTAGAATGATGTTCCTGTTGAATAGAAGGAGTTTTGGACTTTGGAAGTTGCTGTGTTTATGTGAACAATTTTTTTTAATGTGCTTTCTACTGTACTGCCTGTGCTTCTTCAGGGAAGGAGAATGATATATTTTTTTTATGTCTCTTTTGACATAAACCTGCACATTGTCATTGAACTTGAAGTCTGCATGGCAGTTTAACAGCGGCTACACACTAAGGCAGCTGTGTCCTTCGTACTCTGCATCCCTGTGAATCCTGATTAGTGGTGGGTGAAACAGCTGCATTTTCATGGAGTTTCCTTACTGATTTATTTTTGCATGCCATTAGTGTTTCGGGGAAAAAATATATATTTTATGCCACATGAGTTTAGAAATGTGAAAAGCTTAAGATGAAATTTGTATAGGTTATATTACCCTTGGTTTTTAATTAAAAAAAAAAATCTTATTAACCTGAATGCATATTAATTGTTGTCTTTCTGACAGTCTCTTGTAAATTTCCTATGAAATTTCTATTTGAGTTTTGGACTAATGGAAAGCCCAATGATCTGCACTATGGCTTGCATTCCAGACTGCCTGACATCCTGCGAACCATTAGAGGGCACTATTGTGCTGCAGCACTGTACCCTATCACGAGTACTAATAAAGCCAGGTCACTGGCTGGATTCAGTATGCAGTGGTAGTCAGGTTGCTGAAAAGATGGAGATTTCTTCTGTCTGGGTCAAGGATTGCTAAAATGCTTCAGTGTGCTTCCCCAAGAGGTTTAGAGTGGATTATGGGTGGGCAATGATTCCTTTAGTTTTAATGGTCTTATACCCATGTCTTGACTTATTAACATAGTCCGTTCCTCGGACATGAAGGTGCAAATTTGTAAAACAAAAATGCAATTCCTATTAGTTTTCATGCACAGCTTTCTGATTCTTTCCAGTGGCCTAGACAGTCGTCCAGTATTATTTTTATCCTAACAGCACTGAATTGTCAAAGTACTGCAAGAACACTATTGTTAGTGCTTGTTTGTCCTGTTTGCCCTAATACAGTAGGCAAGAGTAATGTCTCCACTGTCTAAGCACACAGATGCATTGAGGACATGTGGCGGGGGAGGTCTCGCTCTGAGGGTATAGTGTCTTCCATTTGGCTGTGATGGACGTGCTGTTGTTGTAGCACAAATTCTCTTTGCAGCTGCACCAAACGGGCGTCGCAGTGCGCTCTAGGCGGGTGTTTGTAAGTCGAGGGGCGGGTGGACAGTGAACGAGCTGCAGCCAGCAGGAAAAGCGGACCTGTAAAAACAGCAGCTCTGATCCTCGGAGAGCCCCGCAAGTGAGCAGTGGTTGAGCGACACATGACACCTGGGCCAGGAGCTTCTGTTTTCTTTTCTTTGCAATGTAAAATGTTGTTTTGCAACGCAGTATTACTACATATAAAATTGGTCAGTGTATCCCTGGGTTTTTTCTTTTCCTTTCTCGTGCCTGTATTTTATTTTTCTGGTTTTCATATATTTGCAGCGTGATCTTTAATGAGTTCTCAGGGTATTTGTTGTCAGTTAAATCCTAAGAAAAGCAAAATCAACAAGGTCATTTTAACTTGAACTCGGTTCATTCTGATTTTTAGGAAACTAGGTTCATACTGTAAAGGAAAGCTCTCCCTTCTTGTCTTTTTAAGGCCCAACACTTTGGGTGGAGCTCATTATATTTACTGTAGTGTTTAGGCAGAGGAATAATCGACTTCATGGTTCACCACAACCTGCCTGACTGAGAAGGAATTATAATCCCTGATTAGATTAAATTAAGCGGGTTAAAATATGAAGCAGATGCGCTTCAAGTGCAGTGTAAGTGTTTTAGAACAAATATTGAGCAAATATCCTGGAATGGACAGGTTTTGTTAACATGTCAAAGTTTATAGCCTGCATGGTGTACTCTCCTCTGGTATTCACCCCCAACCAGGACAGCAGGACCCTTTAATACCAACATAAACTAATCTGCTTAGTGGACCCACCTGGTCAACAAACCCACATTATCCTGGGAAAAGAAATCGCGTCTCAGCGGAAAAACCACTGTCTTTTCAAATTGTTCCATGAGCCCAATGAGGCAAAGGGCTGAATGTGCTTAATCTTTCCATTTGTGGGCACAGTGAGGATCAGCTGTGGTTTGTCTGGGCTCCGCACTGTTTAAGCACACAGGAAAGGCTGGGTCTGAGTCGTTCGTTTGCTTGTGTGACATGATATCTAACGAAACCAGGTTTTACAGCTTGGAATAGGTCTGGTTTCATCCAGTTGATTTTCCCTGCCTTCCTCTTCTACCCTCTCCCCAGGCGATTTCTGCTGTTTATCCGCATTTAAAGGATTACTCAGGGGCTTAGGGCACCAAGCACATGACTTGCTGTCTGTTAACCAGGGACTTGTGTCGGGTGGGAACTTGGTGGTTTAAACGGGAGAGCCTCTGCACGAGCTTGGGATTGGGACACACTTAAAGGGAGATGGAAACAAAGCCTGTGTTTATTTGTCAGTATATTCGTGTCTCTGCAGTTGGAAAGTGAAGGATCATAAGAAATGCCAGCTTCCTTGGCATATGTTTAGCTCAAGATTGCTTGCTAGCACCAAATGACGATCTTCCGATTAATATGAAGGAGCTGGGAGAGAGGTAAAGTCTCAGTTTCAGTCATCATTTCCTTTGCCTGTTTATGTTTGGGTGAATACATCCACAGAGGGGACCTAGTTCAGAGAAGATTGGTTGGCAAGTCAATGGTGAATCACAAGTGGTGCCTGCTCTTTGTGATCTTGTGGCTCAAGGTGAGAACGGAAGTTAATGAGTCAAGTAAGGGAGAGGGGAACGATTAAAGAAGGCTCTGCTGTTAGATTGGCAGCCAACGATGAACTGAAACCGCAGCCCGACGGACATTCGCCATGAGGATGGGGCCACTCCTGCTGCTGCTGGGGTCCTTTCCGGGGGTGTTCGTACAGGTGCCAGCGCAGGAGGCAGAGGAGGAGGAGGAAGGGAGCAGCGGTAAGGCAGGAGCCTCTTGTTTTTGGGATTAAAAAAAGTATGTGATTTTTAGAGCTGAAAACCCGGAGGTTTTCTCATTTCGGTGATCCGTTTTAGTGCAAAACTATTGTGATTCATCTCTCTATTCTGGAAAGGCGCCCTGCTGGCTGCCCTGTACGGACTGGTGAGCTCCGCCGTCCATGTTGACGCCCTGCTCTGCGATCTGCAGGCCTGGCGCTGTTGGAGCCCGACACCTACTGGTCGGGCACAGCCCCCCTGTGCCTGGGGGGCTGCCGGGGGAAGCACAAGGAGCTGAAGAGAGACCGCTGCGGGGACGGCAGCTGCTGCTGGCTGGGGTCCAAGTCCCTGTGCCGAGGTAAAAGAGTGACGCACTGACCCTCATCCTCACCCCAACCCTGCAGTGCTTCACCTGTCATGTAGAATTCACTCCTGCAGTAGAGTTGCAACTGTATGTGTTCTTGCCAAGGTCCCAGTGCTTAGTAGTGCTTTAAGGTTCAGTGAGGTAAATAGAGGAATTCATCGTGTGTGTGTGTGTGTTATTTATGACTTTTCACAGGAGGCTGACAATTGAGTCGTTTTCTAAAAACCTCTTGACCAGTTCACTGTACTTTAAATCAGACTTGTACTTTTGCTGTGATCTATTGCAAGGAGGCTCCTGTAAAGGTTTTTTTTGTTTTGTAGTTCCATGATAAAGCAGTTCATCGAAACAATATATTAGGAAGAACGGAGAAGAGGCTGTTGTGTTCTTGTGACTGCTATACTTGCACTCCCCACCCCCCAGTGAACTGTGGGAAACCCGACGCCGACTTCAACGCGCTGGTGTTCGGGAACGACTGGTGGGTGGGTTCCGTGGTGAGGTACGCCTGCCGGCCCGGCTTCCTGCTGGTCGGAGACCCTGCCCGCGCCTGCCAGTCGGACGGGAAGTGGACCCCCAAGCCAGCTTGCATGCGTGAGTGGCAACAACTGGGCCCACTGCTCGCAGAGGCCTAGCGCACGGTCGCCATGGTGACCGCAATGTTTCTACCTCCTGAGCTTCGAAATTCATGCTTGTCTAGCCTAACTGTTTGTTTTTTCTTTTCAACACAGAGATAACTCGCCAGCAGCTCTACCAGTAGGTCACGTTCATAAACCTACATTCTAACGTTTGCAGCTAGAAAAACGTTTTTCAATATGGGAAAGTCGGGGTTTGACTTTTATTAAAACATTGTTATTAAACAGACATGGCCCAACACAGCAGGATATGTACTTTCAAGGTGTCCCTGTGCCCTGGCCTTTCTTTCAGACACCCACAAGCCTGTTACCCCATCCTCTCGCTCTCCCCCCCCCCCCGGCCCCCCTTTTGGCACTGTGGCCATTCTGCTCCCTCTCCCCGCAGGGGTCTGTCTCCGGGGGCGGCTGGAGATCAACGAGAAGGACATCGACGGCAGCTGCTCCTCCACCTGCTCGGCCAAGACGCACCTCGGCCCTCTCCACCACGGCTGCGTCAAGATCGACAACTGCGTCACCAAGCAGTCGGGCTGGAAGCGCTGGTTCGTGCGCTGCGACTACTGCGAGTGCGACTGCTTCACGCCCTGTGGTGAGCCAGCCGGACCCCGCCTGCCCCGGACCCAGACGGCTCGCGCCCCGGCTTCCGCGTTGCACAGACATCTGAGGCAGCCGGAGCCATTACCCTTGACCCATAGAACTGGGAGGGGGCGCGGTCGTGGGCATGGCTGCCTCCCAGTGCTGCGGACCTGGGTTCAGCCCTGGACCCGGGGTGCTGTCTGTGTGGAGTTTGCATGTTCTCCCCGCGTTTCTGTGGGTGCTCCAGTTTACTCCCACAACCGAGAGACATACTGGTGGGTTAATTGGCTACTGGGAAAACTGGCCTTGGTGTGTGTGTGTGTGTCCTGTGCCAGACTGCTAACCCATCTAGGGTGTATTCTGCCTCGCGCCCCTTGCTTGGAGAAAGACGTTATGGTTGGAAAACAACTGTGTAAACTTGCACGTCATGGCATTAAGTGGTATTAATTTTATGATCCGATTGGTTTGCTCTCCATGGCTTTCTAGGGTCCGTCTGGTTACCTTCCTGTGTTCTTCCATGGTTTACCTGTCATTTCATGCTGCCTTTCACCTCGGTATACCACATTAATCTTTTCCCACATAGCGATGTTTGATCAGAAAAATCTGATTTACTCCTGGTCTTAACCACAAAGCTGCCTCATTTTGTCGGTATGGCGGGTATATAAGAAAGGAGACCTTTGTTGTAGGTACCTGGAGTTTATCTGTTGTACAGTAGTTTGAATTCACATGGGCTCATGTCAAGCTTCCGTCTTAAAGCCATTGATGTAATGAACTACCATCAGGCAGAAGCTGTCTCCCCCACCCCCCTTTGTTTTCTGCAAAAATCAACACTGTCTTTCTCTCCCCTAGCTTTGTCTGGTTAAGACAAGAGCCTCACTCCTTCCTCCAGGAAGAGTGTCTTTTAATGACGGAATTGCAGAGAACCTTCACCCTCATCAAGCACGACAGCGGACAGTTGGATCGACCAGGGCTTCCTCGCTAGACACCAGTTTCCTCCAGCGGCTCGGGTTCACGTTGCCCCTCTTTAAGAGCAGAGGGGTTTTTTGGGGTGGTTTTTTAGCAGCCAGGACCAGCTTGCAGGCCCGCTCGTCTCTGCTCGAGTGAGGAGAGACCGGAGCCGCGCGCAGAGATAGAGTTGAGATCACACTGTGGCACTGCAGGGGGGAGACGCGGGAGCAAAACAAAAAAAACTCTTGACACGTGTCCTGGACCTTGCTGAACACCCCCCTGGATTGTCAACAGCTCTGGACTCACGCAGGACTGCGGCATCTTCCGAAACCACGTTTGCAGGTTTGCTGCTGAAATGTAAAGACCTCGTCTGACAGAATAGCGGGGAGGGGTTTCGTCTTTGCACAGCACTCCTCGGAAGTGGAACGCGACATGAAAGCATGTCTCCTGGAAGCCCCAAAGTGACTGGGAAGCAGAAGGTTTGGCGTGCCAGGGAGGGAAGAGAGCGGAGCCTTGTCTGTCCGATCTCGACCGGATTAGGGATCTGCTTTCAGCCCACCTGTTGCCTCCGTCTGCTCCAGACGAGCAGTGTGAGGAGCTCAGGTCCTAATCGCATTATTACTCGGTATTTCTCAGCGAGTGGTGGGGGGTTGGCTAAGTCGGTCCGATGTCCTTCGCCCTACAAGACTGACGCACCCTTCCCAGCACCGCCTAAGACTGACTCATCCCGTTCCGTTACTGGGGGCTTCAGGGGATGTCGTAAAGACATGGGACAGTGTGGGACGCTGCTTTTTTTTCTTCTCCAAGCTCTGGATATCTGCATGTTTAATAGGGGATAGAAGACATTATTTGTACCTCCATGGGAGAACTAAAATGTGTCTGTTTTCTGCATCAGTCTCCTGTGATGGACTGGGGTAGCAGGGTTGAAAAATATTGCTGTGTTTGGTGTTCAAATCTGGTCTTGATTCCTTAACAAAGGTGCAGCTGTAGATTGTTTTGCTATCCTGCCAAATGCTTTCTTTGATGGCATGTGGTTAGATGTTATTACTGACCATAAACAAGCCTTTTCTGTATTCAAACCCTTCTCCATTACCTCTTAATGTCTTGGTTATATATACAGTAGGCAGCCCTCCTATATTATACTGTAGTGAGCACTCCCTTTTTCTACTTGTTTCACAATACTTCCACTCACTTGGTATCAATATCAACTTCCTTTTACATCAGACCCTCCATTATCCAAAACCATACTACCAGGTAGATGGGTCTGCATCTGCTTAAATAGTGTGCTTAGTGTTTTGTCACAGTTGTCTCCCTGTTACGGATCCTCTTTTTAAATTTGCCTGGCTGTGAATGTTTTCTGTCAGATGTTTAGAAGAAGAATAAAGTCCAAACTTTGCAATGCATTTAATCGATTTATTTCAAGGGTGTTTTTTAAGTCGTGACAGGCACTGTCATGAGAATCCTACACGTGCAGCAGCCATCAGAAGGATGAGAGAAAGCTTCTTGTGGCCAGTTCTGGTATTGCATCCCTCTGGGTTTTCCTGGAGTTAGTACGAGGTGAACCTCAGAATAATGTGGTCATTATTTTGTACAACATAGCAGCCTATTCCCGCAGACCAAACCAGAGATAGCAGTATAGGAACAAATCCTTTAGCATTCATTACGCATATAAAATAGGCATCTACCCACCTAAACCTCTAAGCAGATGAAAAGCAAGTGTTAAATGACATTCTATCTTTTAAAATGTTTTAAGCTAGCATTACAAGTGTACAGATGGTTTGTTTGTATAATACTGATAAAGTCACAGTACTGGGTGAAACTATGTTGATTAAAAGCTCATTTGTAGGAGCTGATGAAATAAAAAAAGGTTGTTGGAGCTGGTGCTCTGATGTGCATGTACTGTAGGATGTGTATGGTGTTGTTCAAAGTGGAGACTCTCCAGGGTCCTCCTGGATGTTCCAGATATTCCACTGTTTGTGTGCATGTTGGTAAGGATGGATGAAGCCTCAGTACTTGGGGAGTTGATTCTCTTACCCTCAGTGAGAGGCTTGTTCGGAGCCTTCAGCAGCTCCCAGTAGGTGTGACTGGATGTGTTGGCCTGCAATCCGTTCACACTCTGCAGGTAGAGTCCGTAGTCTTCCACAGTGTACTGAAAGCTGAATTAAGAGAATATAACCAAACCACACAGTCATGTGATGTACAGAGGTTCAAATCTGCAGGGATCAGCTAAGCAAGGAATGTCTGTTACTCAGAGTAGTGTCTCTACTTTTCTACAGAGCTTTCGGCGGACACAGTGATAAACCTCTGACGATCTACTTCAAGGTAGTTACCCTTGAAAGCTTTTCACTTTGTTTTATGCCATGCAGGGAAATCTGGGGCTGTGATTATTCCCCTTAACCCATCACATCCTGTCCTGATCAGATGAGATTACCCTGGAATGTCTGTGGGATTGGGAATGAAGGAAGGCCTGGGTTTATTCACACTGCAAGGAGCAGATGTAGCAGACATTAATGCAATTCTGAGAAAAAACAAAATAGCCCAGTGTTTCCTCTAGTTTTTGCTTCCTCGTTTCTGGACTGAATGCTTGAGAACTGTTTTCATCTCACAGTAACGGCATGATGGGTTAGGCAGTAAGACGCATGTTTGTTTAATTTCAAAACAGTACACAAAAAGAGTTTAGGCTTGTGACTTTTAACTGTGTAAGAAGTTTTGAATTCATGCCGTATGATGGTTTATGAATAACTTATCACTGCTGCAGATGTCTGGTAGCTAAAGGTTTTAGACTGGAAATTAGGATTCTCTTCCTCCTGAAAGATGTACTGTATGTCTTAAAACCGTTTTCTACAACTAGAACAAATAATTTTACTGAAAGGCATTAATTGCAAGAATATTGGAACTTATAGGTCACATTTCCAATACCTCTCAAAGTTGGTACTGTACTTTGTAGATTGATGCTCGGCCCAATCTACAATCTCTGAGTTATTGATTCGATTGATTTAATTCCTTAGTTAAGTATAGGTAAAAAGTCACTTGGAAAAATAGAGGAATAGTAGAGTAGAAAAGTACAGTTTATTCTGACCTGAAAAGGTTGAGGCAAACTAATGGTAAAGATATGCATTAGCAAAGCTCTTGGTGCAAATCTACAGAAGTCAATGAAGCTGTATAAAAGCTGCAGAAGATGGGTGTGTAAGTTCTGAGCAGATCACAAGTACATGAAGAGCACAAAATCCCTCTGACCTGAACTTGTCTTGATTGAGCTAGTGTATCTTCCTCATGGCCCCAAACAGAATGGAACCCTTTGGGATGCTGACCTGGAACTGCCCAGTGAAGCTGTTGTTGAAATCGCTGCGGTATGACAGCTTAAACATAGTAGTGGTGCTGCCAGGGCAGACCATAAAAAAGGTTGGATGATGTGCGAGGCTCCTGAGGTTTCAGTTTGGGATCACATTGAGAAAAAAAGAAACTTGCAAAATTGTGCGTCTCCCAGCCTGATCAACAAACCCAAAGCATCACCCATGTCCTCTTGGAAAATAGAAATGATATTAAACAATGAATCACCCTGATTGAGCTGACCTGTTCGCTTGTGTAGCCTGACTAACACGTGTTGTTAAGCCCTTCTGATAGGAGCCAGGATCCCATGCCGAGGTGCAGGTTGTCTCTTACCTGCTTGAACCAGGAGCACTGGAACCAGCAGCAGCACTGTGGAGAGCATCATGGTCACAGGGAGAGCCATCCTGCCTGACGTCTCAATCGAATGGCTCCTGTGGTGGCACACTGGGCTACTTATACCTCCTCTCCTGTTACAGGTCTGGGGGAGGAGGAAGAGGGTGTAAGTAAAGAGGGACCGAGCTTTCAGTATGGGTCTAATTCATCAGAAAGGATTGTGTTGGACATTTTGTTCTTGCTCTCCCATCTCTCTCCTCCTTTGGAATGTTATTTTAGTTTTGATAGCCTAACCTTTCTTCTTGGGCTGTCTTGTTTTTCGTGTTTTCCCAGCTTGTTCTCGGCAGCCTTTTTGAGCGAATGGCGTGTTCATACTCTTGTCATTTCCTAGATCTGGATTGGTCTGGTTATCTGTTACTTGCCTGAGGTGCCTGGTTTTTGATCTCAGGGACTTGGTGCACCATCTAGAGGAACTGCTAAACTGATATAAGATTTGCTCTCCAGATGTGAGGTTGGTGGTTCAGAACATGACTATGACTGCAGTGCATTCTCCTTTTATTGTGCTGGTGCCCTCAGTGGTTTGCAATATGGGAAATCACACCAGTACTACAGCTAAGAGATTGACTTTGGCCTCTAGGGTTGCAGTAGGATTTTTGTGGACTGTCATTCTATCCAAGGCTAAGATCAGCCCTGTGTTTCTGGGATAGTCTCTAGCTTGCTGTGACTCATCA